TGCCTGTCTGGCAAGTGCAAGGTCCTGAGTTCGATCCCTGGTACTGCCCTGTGCAGGCCCCAAACCCCAGCGTGGTGGCACATGCCTGGAATCCCAGCATTGGGGAGGCTGAGATAGGAGGATCACTATGAGTCTGAGTTGCATAGCAAGGCTCTGTATCAACGAAAGTTAAAAAAAAAAACAAAAAAAAAAAAAAAAAAACTATTTAGAAAAGATGCACTGGAGTTACCTTTCTAAATGCAAACATTTCCTACCATTTTCCTGCTTTCAGCTCTTCGTTGCTTAGAGGAGTGAATCTGGACTTAATCTGGCAAGCAAGGCCTCACTCAGCCATGTGTGCATACCCCGAATCCTCGCTTCCCATCTTTCCTCCCCCTCAGTGATGTGACATTCTTTTCACCGCCTTGAATATGCCATACCCTTTCATGGTCCCAGGCATCAGCTTGCTGCTGTCTGTTCATGGGCTTCTGTACTCTTTTTAAAAACCTACCCAAAATTTCACTAGTATATTTTTGTAGTACATAATAGTTATTTTCCTTGGTGGAGTTGGTACATATATAGAATGTATCTTTTTTTTTTATTTTGGGGAAGGGTCTACAGGGTGTTCAGGGTCTCACTACTAGATCAGACTCATAGTGATCCGCCTGTTTACAGCCTCCCTAGAGCTGGGATTACAGGCAAGTGCCACCACACCCAGTCTCAATTGCTATCTCAGTGTGCTCCAGGGGTGGGGTTGGCACCGCAGGCCCAGGGATCCAACAAACCCCCAGCCCCTGTGCCTGCTTGCAGGTGCTTTAATCTGCTGAGCTATTTGACTGGCCCTTAGAATATATCTTAATTCTTTTTTTTTTCCTCTCTCTCTCTCTCTCTCTTCCCTCTGTCTTTTTTTTTTTTTCCCTGTCTCTCTCTGTGTGTGTCTCTGTGTGTGTGTCTCTCTCTCCCCATCTCCCTTTCTTTTTTTTTCAGAGCCAGGGATTGAACTCAGGCCCCTGTACTTGCCAGGCAAGCGCTTATTCTCCTGAGCTATCTCCTCAGCCCCCTTCCTCCATCTTTTGATCTCCTTCCCATCTGAGAGAGATTTATCTCTCTGCTTCCTATTACTATCATTTATTCTGCTGTTTATATTTTGAGTTTCTCATATAAGAGAAATCATTGTGATACTTAAGCTTGCGTGTCTGGTTTATTTCATTTAACGTTACATTATTGTCTAAAGGTGAATCTACTTTCCTAAAAACAACTCATGTTCATCTTTATCGCAGAGTAGTACTCTGATGTGTATAAATGCCACATTTTCTTATCCATTCATCTGTTGATGGACATACAGGCTGCTTTCAAGATTTAGCTATTGTAAATTGTTTTGCTATAAACACGGGAATGCATGTAGCACTGTACTATGTGTCTTTAACTCTTTTGCCTTCCCCTACCCTTTCCCCATTTATCTCTTAAAGTCATAACTTCCAGGAAGCTGGCCAGGTCCTCCAGTGAAATGTCCCTTTTCTCCATGCCTGGAACACTTATACGTAGCTTTGTAATGATACTGAGTTGTAATTTTCCTATGTCTGTGTGTGCTCCATTAAACATCATGATTTTTGAGGGAAGAACTGATATTCTGATCGTTGTTGTAGTCCGAGGCCTGGCATGGTAGGGTGCTTGGCATTTGGTGTCTTTTAGTCAGTGGTGAGCAGAGAGTGAAGTATCTCGAAGACAGGTCCAAGAGGACCTTGAGAAATGTCCTCCATTATCAACACTTTCAGCATAAGGGCGTCTTTCCAGGTTATCCTTGAAAGGACAGTATCAATATGGTAGTTTTATTATTTGATATATCTATGAAGAAACCTTCCAGATTGATTTGTGGACAGTTGGAGAAAAAAGTCACCAAACTTTGTGAAACTGTTCCTTGGGATGTGCTATCTGACATCCCTATAATTGGAGCTGGATCTCATCTATTCAGAGAGCATGGCACAGGCTGGAGGCAGATGACATCTCTGAGATGTCATTTACATTAGTCACAGTGAATGAGAAAGAAGGAAGGACAAGAAAGGAAAAGAACTCCCTTTTTATCTCTGCTTGGGTGACAAAGGAATGGAGAGTGAGGAGAGAATTGGCCTTATTGGCAACGCAACAGAAGGAGGGGACGGAGATGTTTTTCCCTTTCAAATTACATGATGAGCTAGCAGTGGAAGGGGTGTGAGCGGGCAGTGATGTAAGAGCTCTGGGGCTCTGGAGGACTGAAGAGGAAGGGGCCAGGAATGTTTAGGGCTTGTTCAGACTGAGAACAGACTGGTGCAGCAGTGTCTTCATGCTACCTATCTATGGAGGCGAATGGATAAGTTTATTGTATCTTAGGTTTCCCATGTCTGCAACTGGAGTATTTCTTTGATTTTTGAATTATCTATGGCTGAGGAGAAACATTGATGTTGGTGATCTCCTGGTATTTTTGCAAGAGTTTGTGTGTTTTCCTCCTCCTGTGTCAATTTCTTTTCTTTTACTATAGATGACCTGGGTTTAACAAAGAACAGGGCATGTGGGACATTGCATCGAGGCAATGCTGTGATGGGATTCTTTAGTAACTAATGTAAAATCTCCAGTGGGCAGGAAGATCAGCAGATCAGGTCAATCCAAATTGGGCACTGGGTCTGAGTACAGGAGAAATGAGTTAGCCATACAGGTGCCAAGGGTGTGGACTTTTTTTTTCTTCACTTGGAGGCTGAGAAGAAATTTACTAGAAGGAAGGAATAGGAACTGAGGAGGATCATTTTCTGAGATATAGAGTTAAGTTATCTTTCTTATTGTTGATAGGAGTCTTACCTTGGGTTTCCCAGAAGACAGAGCCAGGGGCAGGGTGCTTATTTCATAATAGGAAAGAAAATCTCAGGAAGTGGGAGTGGGGGCCAAGAGAAGCAGCAAAGGGTAAGGACAACCTTATTGTACTGGTCTCTACTGAGTACAAGGGACTGTCCCATAAATGTGACCGAATCCTAAAGGGCTGTAGAATTAAGTCTTGGTAGACTGTCCTGCAGGAGAGCCTGGGGGAAGAATTTATCCACTAGTTTTTGTTTCCCTGGGTTTGTGGTATGGGGGCCATAGCAGGGAAACCCCAGAAAGGAGTGAGACACAGCCACATTCAAAACCCATGTAGTGCTGGGCATGGTGGTGTTACGTGCCTGGTATCCCAGCTACTTGAGATGCTGAGACATGTGGATCTCAAGTTCGAGGCCAGCCTGGGCAGCGTATCAAGAGCTAATCTCAAAACCAAAACACAACAAAAAACAAAATAGTATGGAGGACTGGAGTACAGAATGGGTGAGACTAAGGAGAACTATAGAATCATGATTTGATGGGAATGCCTACACTGGGGTTATAGAATACAAGGGGTAATGGAAATATATACTGAATATTTAAATTGAAATAATTATAAAAGAGGCACATTGCCATTAATCTTCTCCTAACTCCTTTCACTTCAAACAATTTAGCCCATCATTCTTTTCCACTTTCCGAAGCAGTTTTGGAAGTCTTTGTTTGTAGGTGTGTTTATGAAATGTGATCAGAAATACAGTGAATGCTCTGCTGAGTGCCATTTGATGAAAAAGCAGGCTTGCAAAACACCATAGTGTGTCCCCATCCGCCTTATGTTCTGGCTCTGGCACTGTGTGATTTCTGGCTCTGTCCTGAAGTCAACACGACTATGAAAGACAAATGTTTTAAGTTGACTCAGGCTGTGCATGACAGCACAATGAAAGACACTCATGAAGGAGGACTTCCAGAACTGCTTCAGAAAGTGACGAGAACAGTGGGATAGTGTGCTCAGATTAAGAGAGGTGACTTTGAGGGGGATTAGTGGCCCTGTGACATCTAATAATTTTAACACTCACTCTACTTGCCATTCACTGTATTTTTTTTTTTTAAATTACAGCTTGCATCTCTTTTTAGCTATAATAAGGATTCCTTTTTCCAGCAAAGACAGCCACCTGGCCTCTATAGGCAGGGTTGTTTTGATGCTATTGTAAATGAAACTGTTTTCATAATTTCATTTTGAATTACTCCATTTTAGTATATAGAAACACAAACTGATTTTTACAGCTTGATCTTAGGTCTTCCAACTGAACTCCTTTTTTAGTTTTAATAGTTTTTAAATGTTTGAATTCCTTAGGGTGTTCTATATTTAAGGTTATAACATTGGCAAACAGAAAATTATATTTATTTCTAAGAAATTTGATTTTGAAGGAGTAAAAAGCTGAATCTTCCCCCTGCCTCCCTTCTTGTTTGGACAGCTTCCTAGGTGGTTAGTTGAGTGAGTCCATCAGGAACTATGTTGCCTCAGGAAACCAGTGTCCTAACATCATTTCCCACATGTAGATGGGACATATACAGAATATTTGCTTTTTTATTCATTTATTTATTTTGGTACTGGGGATTGAACTTGAAACCCTGTGCTTGCCAAGCAGGTGCTTAGGTTGCTGAGCTATATCCCCGGCCCCCACTCCCACTTCCCGGCTCTCTGCAGAACATTTAAAAGAGGCAGAACCACAGGTACAATTTGTGTAGAATTGTAGCTTACTCCAAGCTGCTTTTGGAGAATGGTTCCACATGGTGCCTGGTGTCCTTTCCCTTCTGTGAGATGACTTGAATGAGTGCCCTGTCCCCCAGGTGAAGTAAGCAAGATGGGAACGGAGCAGGTTTTACCAGCACAGCTACAGGACTCAGCCTAGCCCACCTTCCATCCCACAGCAGTAGAACACCAGTGGCATCCAGTGGCCTGTTAAGATAATCACAGGTTGGAGTTCTTTCCTGACCTCAAGCAGGAGTCTTTCCCTACCTTTTCTAATAAAGAGCCTGGCTCATTCCTGATGAAGGGAAGCTGTGTGGTTGGCCTGGAATCACAGCAGGAATGGTGTTCAGCTGAGATGGGGGGTCGGGGAGGTAGACAAACTAATCTCCATTACGGTTTTTCTGAAGCCCGTGGGCGCATTTTGTGAGTTAACTTTCTTTTTCCCTTCTAGAAATAATGACAGAAATTAAAAATGTATCAGTGTTTAATAACACGTGTCTGAGGTGGCAAATAAACTCAGGAACAATAAACTCCAATATCATGTATGTGGTAAGTAATGAGATCTCCTTTTCCCCCCTGCTAGGATAGAAATGGTAAACCCGTGGGACTCAGTCAGGATTTGCTTCTCTAAGAGCCTCTCACTTTTGTTGCTTTCTAATTCCATTGTCGTTAAAAAAAAAAAAAAGTGAATGGAGATTTGAGGCTGTCTGAATTGTCTGTTATTTTACACATCGTGTTTCAGCGTATGGTCATTTGACACAGAGTGTGTATGTGCATGTGGGGAGGGAGGGCTTCGTATGTGACGTCACCACCGTTGCTTGTTCCAGGCACTTGTATTTCCCCTCCCAGCGCAAGGCTAGAAACATCTGCTGACTTAGTGGCCAAAGGCACAGGTGGTCCTTGGTTATGACAGTTTCCATTTACTGAAGATCATTTATGGGCAGGATGGCACTTCCTAGAGAATTTTCACTTATGTCACCTTTTTTTTTTTTTTTTTTCAGTACCAAGAATCAAACTCAGGACCTTGTGCTTGCCAGTGGCTGTGCCACTGAGCTATCTCCCTAGCCCTAACGTCACCTCTTAGGGTACTGGGTTACTGGGTAGATGGAGGACTTTCTCATTAGATTCCTGAGGGCAGAGTTTGGCCTCATCTGTCCTCTGGGCTGAACAGGGCAGGGAAAGATAGGATGGTGCCATAATTAGGCTGCCAGGCCCAAAGTCTTTATTATGCTGACTAGCATTGTGGTGGGCTCTCTTGTCCTTTCCTGTCCTGAAGGTAAACATAAAAGGACAACTGTCGGACCCTGCGGGATCAGTTCATGAGGAGACAGTCACCTTGACCACAGACAGCAGGACCCCAGAAGTGTGCCTCACCCTGTACCAAGGCGTCAACTACACCATGAACATTTCCACTGCTCCTCCCAGGCACTCTGTGCCCACCAGCCTTCGCTTCCAGACAGCTGGTAGGTGGAGTTGGGGACTTGTTTCCTTCTGGGAAATGCTCAGCACAGGATGTAGCAATGAACTCCAGCTTCAGCTGGGCAGTAGAGTTCCTGTTTTTCTTCTGAGACTTGTGCTTGGGGGCATGGAGCTGCCCCAGGGGTCAGAAGTAGAGGAGGTCTAGTAGAGAGACTTCCTCTCAGCTGCAGGCTGAATGGCACCCAGGTACTTTCTTGCCCTTGCCTGAGAGAGAGGAGCTTCAGGGAGGCTGAGCTGGCAGCTTCATGCCAGGATGGGAGCTGACCCCAGAACTGGTGGGGGCGAGAGACCCAGGTCAGGAGTGGGTGAGTGGAAAGGGGCAGGTAGCCAAAGGAACACAGGAGGGTCGGTGCTGGTTGAAAGTAGAAATGGACCTGAAGTTTTAAGAAGTAGAGGTGCCGGGGAGATGGCTCAGTAGAATAAGTGCTTCCCTGGTAAGAGCAGGGGTCTGAGTTCAATCCCCAGTTCAGAAGTAGGAATAAACTTCACTGTATGTAATTGTCATGTGAATTTTTTAAAAACAACATTGTAATAGTTATAGGAAGTTCATTTTGAAAAATATAATTCTTATTTCATAATACCTTACGGACAAGCCTGGAAAAATGATTGGAGGCATTTATGAGTTAACTAGGTCTTTGCTGTCCTATTTAAAATCTACATTGCTGGGTGTGGTAGCACAGGCATGTAATCTCAGCTACTCAGGAGGCTGAGACAGGAGAATCGCAAGTTGGAAGTCTGCCTGGGTAGCTTAGTGAGACCCTGTCTCAAAATAAAATAAAAAGGGCTGGGGGTGTAGTCCAGTGGTAGAGTTTTTGCCTAGCATGATCCGGGCCTTGGGTTCAGTCCCCAGTACCACCTCCTCCCCAATATACATGCCCCAAATCTAAGATACTGCTACCACTAGGTAAAATTTGGCCAGAAATAACTAAAAAGTCGCCAGTTTTAGCAATTATGAAACCAACTATGAAATTACACAAATTAAGTCTCAGTATTTGTATATAAAATAAATTATTTCTTTTAAGCAAATAATATGTAGGAAAGATATTATACACTAATATGCAATCAAACTTTATAAAATTAATAATAAACCACAATGGCTTTATAAGAATATATCTTCTTGAAAAAAATCATCATAAGGACCTCAAACTCATCTGTCACCATGAGTCAGAATGACAGCTTGCTTCTCAGTGTCAGCTATTCCTATTGATATCTGATTAACCCCTCAAGTCACTTCCAGGCAATGAGAGCCAGCATCTTGTTTTGCTTTGTTTTTTAATGTATTTGGTACAGGGCCTCACTACTTATGCAGTGCAGACTCCTAGGAATCTTCTGTCTCAGCCTCCTCAGCGCGGGGATTATAGGCGTGGCATGTGGTGCTGTATTTTTTTTTTTTTTAAAAGAAAAGATAGGGGGCCGGGGAGATGGCTCAGTGGAATAAGCGCTTCCCTGGCAAGTGCAAGGGTGTGAGTTCAATCCCTGGTTCTGCCAAAAAAAGAAAAAAGAAAAAAAGAAAAAAGAAAAGATAAATACAAATTTAGGAATCAGAAGAATCACCTGGGGTGAGATAATCTCTGACCCCAGTGAAGTAGACATTTTAAAGAAAGTATAAATTAAATGAATTACCTCAAGAGTATCTAGAAAGCGGGGGGAGATGGCTCAGTGGAATAAGCGCTTCCTTGGCAAACGCAAGGGCCTGAGTTCAATCCCCGGTTCCACAAAAAAAAAAAAAAAAAAAAAAAAAGAGTATCTAGGAAGCAGAAACTGATGAAAGAGGCGAGCAGAAACTGACCGAGTTGTCAGAGGACCAGCTCCACGTGGGGATGAAACTTAAATGACCTTAACAGCAAGTTCGCCCAGGTTTTGTATATGCGCTGCTGAGGGAACCATTTCCAAGTGACAAACTGTAAAGGGTTAGTAGAATTTTGTGCCTTAATTGTGGAAAATTATAAAAACCCCTTGTGCTTCCTGTTATCTGCTCTAAGAAATGTGTTCTCCCTTTCGGCTCAAGGCTGTTCAACAATAAATGTTTCTTGTCAAGGCAGCAAGCTAAAACAAACTCCCTCCCCAACCATCTCCTATAACATAGTCAGCTTAAGATGTATCTTGTAAATATTTGCACTTATCACTAAGCTGGGAAAGACCTCTTAGTTATGAACAGTTTGCAGCTGTGTCAAATGAATGTAGTTTCTGTTGTTCTGTACTAGATAACAAGTTTGCTTACCAAACTGGATGTGATTTCTGTTATAAATACCCCCTTGCTACCTATGTTCAGGGCCGATCAGCCTTCTCCTGCGAGAGAAGTGGCTGATGGACCTGAGCTCAGTAAATAAAAGGCTCTGTTCAAATTTCTATCAGGCTGATCTGGTTCCTATGCAGAGTTGACCCATAACAAAACTTTTCTAGAATGACTATGTATATATCTATACAAAACTTCCCTCACATGTTAAGGGGCCTGGGATAACCCTGGGTAAGAAAATAAAACAGAATGCACAGGATCTAGGGGAGGAGATTGATAAATCTGCACCACCATGGATAAACAAACAGGAAGATGGAAAAGATGCCCAGTGAAAGTGGAAACAGACTTTCCTCCTAGAGCTGACTCTAAAGGCCAGGCCTCTTCCAGTGGAAAGTCACTTGAGGGGTTAATGAGCTATCAGTATCTTGTTTGCTAATGAAATCCTTCAGTGCTCCTTTCTGCCTTCTGGGTCTGGGTTTTAACAGACTCCCTCAGGCACTGGTACACATTGTCTTTGTCCTTGCTTTGAAGTCAGGGTAGAATTGTTATCAGATTTTCCTTTTGGTGAAGAATTATTTATGAGTATGTTAATATGTGTTCTCTTTAGCTTTACTTTCAAAGCATTGTATTGATTTTTTTCCCTTTGATTGAAATTAATTATAACTATGACATAAAAGTTGTCTTTTTTTTTCTTTTTAATGTTTATACTTTAGTAATAATTTTTAGTTGGATACAGTTTGATGTGCTTTGGGAAATTTACTAACATTTTCTTCGACCTTACTTTTTGGCCATGGTTTATTTGTCAGTAGGCACTAGGTCATGTAGTTGAGTGTTAAGATAGAGGTGGTGGAAAATATGTTTTTTTAAAATTTTTATTTTTTATTTTTTTGGCAGAACCAGGGATTGAACTCAGGCCCTTGCGCTTGCCAGGGAAGCACTTATTCCACTGAGCCATCGCCCTGGCCCCCTTCCTGGCACATTCTAAGTGTTTTGTTTCACATGTGCTGGTGTTACATAATTTATGTTCATGACATCTGAATTATAGATGCTTTCACTAGTAGCAAATGGCTCTCTTTATCCTGTTACATACTATTTGTCATAGATAATACATAATATTTTTTTATTTCTTTGGGCTTATACTTAAGTAATATGCTTTTCCTTTTTCCTTTTTAAAAGCTATCTACATAATGTTACTTTATGCAGTATACTGTAGGAGTTAGCATATGTGGAAAATCTTTTTGCGGGAAGTTTTTAATGTATTTAGTTTGACAATGGTCTGACTGTGTAGCCCAGGCTGGCCTCAAACACACCTGCCTGGTGATCCTCCTGCCACACGAGGGGCAGAGCTGGGATCCTAGGCATGTGCCACCACAGCTGGCTTATTTCTCCTTTTATTAACCAGTTTCCTCTCTGCTGTCCCTTTCTCATTATCTTATTCTTTATTTCCCATTGGAATCCATTTTTAAATTTAATTTTTTAAAAAATGTATTTAGTACAGGGTCTCACTACATAGATTGGACTCCTAGTGATCCTCTTGTTTTCAGCCTCCCAAGCACTGGGATTACAGGCTCATGCCACCATGCCCAGTTTCAGTCACCATCTCAGTGCACCTCTGAGGCAGGTCTGGCACAGCATGCTGGGGATTCAACCCTGGTCCCTGTGCCCTGCCTAAGCAGGCAGTTTAGTCCACTGAGCTATCTGGCCAGCCCCCATAAGTGTTTTTGTTAAAGGTACAAAATGAGTGCTCCTGTGACAGTACCATCACTGTGCTCAGCTCTCTCTTCAAAAGTATGCTCACTCTTTGCTTCCTCTGTCTGATCTCCTCCACTTTGGGAGAATCATATTGTAGGCTGTTTCTGAGGGATGAGGTGCTTCTAGATTATTATGATGGGAAGAGAAAGGTTCTGTCTAGGTCTCATTCCCCTTATAATAAAACGGACAGCATGTCCTTTGATCTCACTTTTTGGGGATTATAGCAGTGTGCTTACATCCAGTCTCCTTGTGAAGGCTTTACTGTGATGGGGTGAGCCAGCTTCCTTGGGACCAGCTGCGGCAAAGCCCACCACCCTGAGTCTTACCTTTGAGCATGTTATTGTCCTGAGTCGTGAAGCTGCTGGCCTTGGGCCTGCTCAGCACTGCCTGGCTTTCCTGTGTGGCTGTAGCCTCCTGAGACAGGAAAGGGGCAGGGCTTTGTGTTAACAAGGCTTTGTCTGAAGGAGCCTCCAGGTTCCAGGGTCTCCACTTAGAAGTTCTTCCATGTTACTGTATGTGCTGAGGAATTATTGTTACAGCAGACTCTTGGTTTATAGACTCACTTTGTTCCCGAGGGCTGTTTGTAACTCATATTGTCAATGGAAGACTCAGGCGCCTCTACACAATCTTTGAAGTCTCTCTCCTGTCCATGGGCAGATCTCAGTGTCCTTAGGCAGACACTAGCCCAGGATTTCTCAGTCAATCCCCTAAAGGAAATGATGTTGTAATGTTCCTTCCAGAACTCTTTAAGGCTTTAATCTGTGTCTGAGACCATGTGGATGCACAAGCGGCCACATTTGGGTCTTGACTCAAAACTTTGGCCGTAAATTAAAGCTACAATTCTGGTTATAACCCACTTTGTTCATATCTCAGGCCAGTTGTAACTTGAGGGTACACTGTATTAATAATAGTTATATATACACTTTCTGTCCTGATTGCCTATCAGAATTGTCTGGTGACTTAAAAATATCGAGATATAAACATTATTTCAGATCCCCTGGGTGACACTGATGGCTTTAAAAAGGACATTTATCCTTGTGGACACCTCCTGTCTGGATTCCTCTGTGGGATCCAGTTCTCCCTTTCTTCCTTTGTGACTTGGAGACCACGTTCCTTCACTTGGAAAGCCTTTTGTGTAGTAGCTCTCAGTGTCTCCCTATAGCCTGGTCTCTTCCACACTTTGGTGCTCAGCAGAAATATATTTATGTTCCCACTTCGCGTGTGGCAACCAACCTTTCTTTCCAAGCCAGATGCAAATTTTGACCTATTTTTATTTTTTTCTCAGTCACTTCTGTCAGGATTGGGCGTAGGAAGTGGAAGCCAGATGCCTTTGTTCACACTGCCATCTTCCCCTGCGTTCAGACGACGATGTCTGTGTGATGTGTGGAACTATGCAGATAGCACCCCTACTTGTGTTGTCTATGTGGTGTTTCTTACGTATGTTTCTTGCATACACACATTTGGTACTCCTCAATATTGTAGGCGTATGTACGGCTATTTTCTCCCCAATGTCCTTATGAAGCCTTTAAATAAAAGTTGTGAGGATGAAGGAGAGCCCGTATGACAGGCCTTCACATTCTTTTGCAGAACCATATTTTTGCATTTTCCGATGATAGTCAGGATTATTTTCTCTCAGCTAATTGTGCTGCGTATGTTTGTGTTATTGAAAATGCTGTGGATAGTTCTGATGTTGATTAGGATGATATCATTGTCATTAGTACTTCTTAAGTGGCAGAGACGCCCATGGCAGAAATGCACTTTAAAGGTAGGTAGGAGGTGGCTTTTTCTGATAGACACTTAAACTTTTGGGGAGGGCTGGGGATCTAGCTCACTGTAGAACACATGCTTTCCCCCTCCCTCTCTCTGCCTTCCTCGCTCCATCACTTTTTCCTTTTTCTTCTTCCTTCCCTTTTCTTATCTTCTGCTATCCCCTCTCCTTGCTTTCTTTTATAATGAGGATTGAACCCACTGTCTTCACACTGAACTACACATCCAACTCTTTTTTTTTTTTTTTTAAATGTATTTGGTACAGGGTCTCACTACACGGCTCATACTCATAGTGATCCTCTTATTTTCAGCCTCCCCTGTGCTGGGATTACAGATATGTGCTGCCACGCCAGGACTCGGTCCAAGGCTCAGCATGCCCAGGGGTGGGGCTGCAAAGACATGAGGTACTGGGAATTGAACCTTGATCCCTGCATTTGCCTCAGCAGGCGCTTAGTCCACTGAACTATCTCGCTGGCCCTCACATCTTTAAAATTAAAAAAAAAAAAAAAAAAGGAAGAAACATTGACGTGGGGTCTTACTATGTTGCTCAGACTGGGCTTAAGCTTGAGGTCTTCTTGACTCAACCATTCAGAGTGGTGGGCTTACAGATGTGCACCACCAGATCTAGTTCCTGATGTGTGCTTTGCTTGTATGGAGACTGCAGTTCAGTCCTGAGCACCATGCAGGGAAGGAGCGCTCAGCAAGTGGGAGGGAGGGAGCCCACATTTTCTCATTGGTGGAAGGCACAGGGCTGTCAGGAAATGTTCTTTTCCTTCAAGTTACCGTGTTACTCTGTTACTCATAGACTGTTTTTGGAGTTCTTTAATTTATTGCAAGAAACCTTTCCTTTATTGGCTATGTAAAGAAAATGAAACACTGAAGCAATGACTTCGGCTGTGGGAGGTATGAAATTACTTTTTCTGTACAATGGTTGAAACAAATCTGCCTTCTGGTTATTTTATTGTCTTAGCTGAGCATGGCTGAGCAGCTCTTGAAGTACCATCTCCTGTGAGAACATTATCTTCCCACTTAGCCATTTTCTGTGTTGGAAAGCATCTGACCTGCAACGTCATGGCGTTTGATTTTTATTCATCTTTTTTTGCTTAATCTCAGGCTTTCTGGCTATACATATTCTTAGATCCATGGCAGTTTCCTAGGACCACCCAAGTGATAGGATTAACTTTGACAGAAGTCATAGCTTCATTAACTTACAATAATATTTGAATATTTCTTTTGATTATCGCAATAGTCTGTGGTATGAGAAAGCAAGTCGGGTTACTTCATTTTACGAATGAGGGAAACGCGATTCAAAACTGTTCCGGGAACTTGGGAGAGATTAAGAAGTTATGGGTGGGGGCCTGCCCCTTAGCTCAGTTCTTTAAGTGACTGCTTTGATAAAGCAGTCAGGCTCAGGTTGCTGTGGTTTGATCCCCACAACTCAAGCCAGCCAAACCTGCCCTGAAGGCATTGGAGAAAAAAAAAATCCTATTCCATTTAAAAAAAAAAAAAGGGCCGGGGAGATGGCTCAGTGGAATAAGCACTTCCCTGGCAAGCTCAAGGGCCTGAGTTCAATCCCTGGTTCTGCAAAAAAAAAAAAAAAAAAAAAAAAAAAAAAATTATGGGCCTCAGAATAAGCATAAGCCTCTTTAGTCATATTAACCAGATAGGATGGAAATCAGGATTCATTAACAGTACAGATGTTTAAAAGGAGAAATTCAAGCAGAACTGTAACTGAAAATAAAGAATTGAAAAGATAATAGATTTAAAGCAACAGTAAAATAACTGTTTTAAGTCATAACTCATGAACCAGGTATGAAAGCAGTTAACATTAACTGTTATTCAAACAATTAATTTTTCTCAGCTGTTTCATTTGTTGGTTATAGAACAATGTCACAAAGTTTATTAATCTAAGACTGAAGACATAGCTTAATGGTAAAGCCCTTGGCCTAACATGAATTAGACCCTGGATTCAATCCTCTGTACTTCAGAAGAAATAATACTTTGTTAAACCAAGAGTTGAATGTTCTAATTAAGTACTCAACATCTTCGACAATTTTCAGATTCTGTTGATATGGTCTCTGTGATGTTATTTCTTTTTTAAAAACTTATGTAAATATTCAGTGAATTATAAGAATCTACACTTCAACAAAGTTGAGAAACAGAGAGTGTTTCTTTTTTTCACCCCTCAAGTACATGATTTGATTTTAACATTAAGTCAAAAATAAAACTAAACATTATAAGAGAGAAAACAAAGAAAAGAAGTTATGGAGCCAGGACACGAAGCTAATTCTGCTGATGCTGAATTTAATGTTCTTCCTGCTAAAACACTTGCCAGTTCCCAGAGTTTCGCTTGTACTTAGCTGCGATGTTTTGCAAAGATGATATGACTTGTCTGTATTTTCTTTTGTCTTTTAGAAGAAAATCTCTTAGAAGATGATGGAATTTTCAATATCTCATTATTTAATGAAACTTGTTTGAAATTGAAAAGGCATTCTAGGAAAGCTGGATCCGAACAAACATATCACGTAAGAAGATCTCTGACACTCTCTGTCCAAGAATTGGCCACGTAAAAATTTAGATGATCACCAAGTTAGAATCCAAAATATTTAAAAACCATTAACAGGATGAACTTGTAGTCAGTTTATGATTATTGTTTCTGGAGATGGGTGAGAGATATGAGATGGGTGTAAGTGAGGGACTAAACTGAGAGAAAGACACTCTATTTAGTGACTTGCTGTCATTTTCCCTGCCCAGTACTTTACATTTAGATTCTATTTCAGTGCATTTAATGATTATACCTTATTTGGTCATCAAATTCATATATGGGGAAAGATTCATAAGGAACTCACTGAAGGGCTGTTGCTCTCATTTAACTTGATTGTGTGTGTGTGTGTGTGT